AAGGGACAATCGCTGTACACTTTTGACCATCTCGCTACGCCCTGGTGATCGATTTGCGGCTCCCATTTTTTTGCTGGCTGCATGCTGACTGTAGCACAAGTGACTTTTTGTGGCGTATGTGATACCATTTGGATTGCTAGGTTGTGAGAAGCTTGGAAAGGAACGTTACGAGGAATCGGCATTTGACGATACCTCCTGCTACGACGAGTGTCCGCGCCGAGGTTCTCCAGTGGGGATCCGAGTTCGATCCCCGGTACCGGCACTTTTTCCACCTTATTATCTGTGCTGATGTGGTTTATAGTCGGGAAACGCATTATGCACTTTTAGAGACGATCAAGAGGTTATTGCTGCCTGGTGGTGAATGTTGGCTATTCGCTTCGAAACGTGCGGGGTCTTTGGGGGACTTCGTGGCACTTGCTCGGAGTAGCGCTGAATTTGAAGCAGTTGAGGTGGCGGTTGACTGCCTTCCTATGAGCTCCGCTTTCAAGGAGCTCAGAGCGATGAATTGTTCTCCTGTGATGGTGAGGATAGTGGCGTGTTGTCGTGATGAGGATAGATCGAGTAACATGTACGACGAGTTAGTAGCATTGAGATCCAAAAATCTTGCGGCTGCGCGCGCCAAAGATACCCTACGACACAGGCGTGCGTCACAAATGCGCAATTTACTCGCTTCACGATCGCGTGCTCGGTTGTTGGAGCGTGGAGCTAGAGAGGAGGATACCTCCAGTGCTAATAAAGTGGCCTTTAAGAGTATTGATGTCAATAGGCATTCAGTGAAGGTTCTGTCAGTGCCCGACTTGACGGTTTCTGTATCGTGGCCGAGTCACCTGTCGGGTCTCAGCAAGACGGAGCGTGGCCTTATCGACTGGTTGCAGCTACATTATGGGTTATGTTGTGGTAAAAGTGTCCTCTTCTCGGGGTCCTTCAGATTGGCTCCCTTTGTGCTGTCTGAATTGGGAGGTCTACGGAAGGTCCATGTCCTTACTACTACAGTCGAGGATGCTATTGCTCTGGAGAGTATCTGTGGGCATTTTCGTGGCGCGGTGAAGGTGAAACTCACAGTACGTGGGAAGTATGATGTGGTTTTCTCCCTCGGCGAGTTTGATACTGGGCGACATGTGAAGTGTGGTGGTACGTTGATAGTTGGTCGTGGTGACACGGCGCTTGGTCCTTCTCGTGGTGATTGGAGTCGTATTGATGGTGATGCTGCAGTGGTGATATGTTGTGGTAAACGGGTGAAGGTCTTGAGGAGTAGGCCACGGAGACAGACATGACATGCTTCCCGTGCTGTTAGTTTTGTTGCGTATTTTTTTGGTCTTTCGCAGAGGTGCGGTATGACTTTTGATTTTTATCAGTTTTCCTTATCGTTCTCGCAGGGTTCCGCTCGGAAGCGAGAACCTGTTTTATGCAACCAGAAGTTTACGGAGTAATCAGTCGATCCTTCACCAGAGCTCGTTGTGCGTATCACTCGATATAAAAAAGGCCACATTATGAACAGCATTAATAACACTAAGGACGTTCCAGAGAAAAAGGAGTTCGCTTTGCACAGGAGCGTAGGTTACTTGAATATATTT